CATGATTTTGTAGTACAGTGAAATCTTGAACGAGGAATAATAATTGGGGTATTAGAATTTAACTTCTCGCACTAAACTTGTGGAAAAGAAGATTTTAAGTAATCTGTTACTACATCAACTGAAGTTTCTGGGGCAAGTTTATATACATGAACATACCTCCGTCGCACTGCTGCTTTGATGTTACACTTTACCTGAGGATTGATATTACCAACAATTTAGTGTGGTGTAGGGGTAAGAACTGTTTGTATACCAATGCATATAGTGCATTGATAATATCAAAAATCGTGGTGTCTAGCTAGACACAGCCTTTAATTAGGTTTTTTTTAATTTCTCGACAATAAATGGAAATTGTACTACTATATTACATATGTATGTGCAATAAACATTGTGTTTTATTAGTAATTACGCTGATATAGGTACGTTGCACCTACAGGTAAAAAAATCATTTAACAATGGGTATATTTCTCGCGAGATTCCGAATAAAAAAATCCATCTGCTGTATAGCAAAGATATACGTCAAATTTGAAGTTTTAGACAAACGGGATCTGTTTACTTGTTCCTTTTAAGTTTGAAGACTGATATTTACGAGATTATGTACGTAAATAACTTTCTAATAATAAAAAGGAAAACCCATAAACAGTTCTATTTAAAAATGCACGTAATGTGCTTAAAAATGTTTATAAGTGCGATCATAGTGTTGTAATAAACTTTAAAAAAGTTTACTTTAAGTGTTTCAAACAAACAACAGATTGAACATTAAATCAGGAAGAAACTAACAAAATCTGTTGAAGCATTTTAACTTAGAATTAAAAATACAACAAAACACTAAATTACGACGTAAGCAAGTATAGCGTTAAAAGCGTAAGAAAGTGAAGGGGGTGGTCTTGGTCACCGAGTCTGTTCAGTAATTCCGAGCCTGCCTATGATTTCACCCCTTGTTTGTTGTTTACACCATAATAGTATCATAAGTTCGACGTTCGGGAGCAAGAAGAAGCATGCTTTGTTTGTGCCACGGATTTAAGACGCGAGGGGGAACGGTTATTGCCGTCTCCAGTTTACTTCAATTCCTTCTATTCTAAAACATTAAAAGAATGAGCTGTCGTATTGACTAATGTATTCATCTGCTTACGTTATGTCAAACTTAAATTTCTCTACCTCTATAAAACTGCACCTCTTTTAGTGTAGTAAAAGGCTATTCTATTTATAATCCACTCGGCCACCCCACACAAAGGCCAATACAACTGTCCCAATTATGGCTACGGGCTACGATAATTTTTGAGTACGAGACGAATATTTGAATGGTGGATTGTATTGATCTCTAGTTGTTAAAAATGTGCATTTTGTCAAGAACTAAACTAGCCGCTGTTGCTTGTAAATAATATGCTTCGCTACAGGGGTGAAAGGAATCATTGATTTGTTCACGCTTCGAGTTTTGATGGTGTATCTAGCATGAGGTTAATAGTATCTTAAAAGAGGCAGTGCAATTAAATGCACGATGCGAAGTTTGGCAATTTGAGAGGAAACCCCTTTGGCCTTTGTAATAATAATAATAATAATAATAATATCTATTTCTTTTTTTTTTATTATTATTATTATTATTACAAAGGCCAAAGGGGTGTATAGGTTACAAAGTGTGGCAAAAAAATACCTGTCACTATTGGGGTGTTGGGCGTAGCTCCATCAAGTTAGCCCCAGTAATTAAAAAAATTATGGGAAACCTATATTTATTCCGCATAACTAACCATTAAACCAATTTTACGTTACGTAAGGAACTTTGGGTGAATTAGAGGAAGATATGGGGAGATTTTGGGAGAAGAGAATAGCATTTTAGGGGCCGAGTAAATTGAATGAGAAATCCTGAGGAAACGCGAAAATTCTTGAAGGAATGGTTGGCAATTTTGGGATGACAAAAAACAAGTTCTAATAAAACACTATACAGAAAATGGGGGAATTTAAGTGAATACAAAAAAGGGAGACTATAATATTTGGAGAATTAAAAGCAATGTGATCTAAAAGAATATTTATATAAATATTTTGGTAAACTAGAAGGAAGGTTTAAGGAAATGAAAAAGTACCTTAGGAAGTTAAAAGGACAATTTTAATGAAATGTAAAAAGTTAAAGAGACTTAGTTAATTAGGAAATCATAGGAATTTAAAAATCGCTTGCAAGAATAAGCGGAAATATTGAGAAAATTTGCGAAGTTTTTGGAAAATGCGAAGGAATTTACAGGAACATGTCGGAACATTTGAAACAAATAAATAAATAGGTAATGTTACTTATATTGTTAGAAAATGAGGAAATTTAAAGTAATACAAGAAGCTTGGAGGTAGTTAGAGGGAATTGTAGATGAGATATAACAAGGTTTTGGGCGGAACAAAAAATTCAAGCAAAATCTCTTGAAGAAAATTCTGTAGGAAATATAGAGACATATTGGAGATGTAGAAATTCGTGGAAAACGATAACGAAATAAGACGATTCTGAATAACGGCAAGAAAATTCTGAAGGTAGCTTCTGTAAAATGGTAGTAAATTTTTGAGGAAATAGTGTATAGAAAATAGAAAATTTATATTAATGTGTGGATAAATTTAAGGAAATTTAGGGTGAAATACAGGGTTTTGTAACAGTGCGCCAATCTTTCCTAGCTCGTAAAAAATATACAAAAAACTTTGTGAAAATGTCAACTATATAGATGGTTGCGTATACATACATGAATTTTTTAAAGAGGACAGCCTGTATATTTTTACTTGTTTCGATGTCATTTATTGAAACCAAGCTATAGAATAGCGAAATAAAATAGTGGTAGCTCGATTTGAAAAAAAAAAGAGTTATGGCACCTTGAAATTCAGACAATTTACCATTTAATTGTGAATCCTGTATCATTAAATCCAACTTTTTCATTATCAAAGTGTTGCCCTTTACTCGGATTAAGATAGATACTTAAGTATTGCTCAAATTTATTTCTTAACTACGATTCATAAAAGTGAGACTTGCTTATGGGAAATTATTCGGAAAAAAATTAGCAAAAGTTAGCAACTATGACAAAAAATCAAAAAGTGAATAGGTTTCAATTTAAAGGTTAACAAATGATATCGAAACAACTAAAAATATACACAGTGTTCTATTTAAAAAGCAGTTATTTATTTACCTACACCGTAACAATGGGACACCCTGTTCATTCAAAAATAAAATACACAACCATCTATATAGTTGCCATTTGCACAAAAGAATTTTTTTTTTTTTTTTATGAGCTAGGAAAGATCAGCGCACTATTGCAGGAAATTATGGCGAAATGAGAAAAAAATAAAAAGAAACACGCGGAAAAATTTTAGAACACTTCCAGAGCTCAGCACTACAACCAATCGAAATAACTAAAACTAAACTTCCCTAACAAAACTTTCCCCCACAAAGAGATTGGTTCTACTAAACCCCAAAATTAATCAAAAACTCTATTTTTGGGATGTAAATAATAAATCTTTCAGAGTATCATAGACATCCCCGAACGAAAAATGTCATAATATTTTGCCTTCTCACTTTCGTCAGTTACTTGTAAGTTGTAACATATAGCCTTTTGCAAATTGCTGTATATGATGCAAATCTTCAATAGTAATGGGACCAGATACGAACGTGATTGACATTCAGTAGAATAATGACATATGTCAACACTACTAAAATCTCGACTAAAATGTTGTAAAGACAAGTACTTTTTACGGAATTAAAAAAACACGTCAAAGTTATTACCTATACAAACATAACATAAATGACGAGAGCATATTTTCCTCCTTGTTCAGACCGGGAAAAAAATAGCTGTAGGCAGGAGATCCTTGTACCATTCTCTTTCAAATGAACCGCGGCCTATGATCGAATTCTGTTAAGTTTCACACAAATAGTGCTACGTGTCAGTTGTTCATATAGTTAAATGAAAAGTATCAACAAATATACATTGTCAATTGTAAAATACCTTATTTTCTACATATAATATAAAATAAATAAAAAAATATCGGTATGCACGGAATCCTTACAACAAGCCCTTTTAAGTGAGCCCCATATCGCCCAAATCGGTTCAGTCGTGTAGGAGTAGTACGTATGAGGACCGTCCGGTCGACAAAATGCAGCCAATAGCGATTTTTTACTTTGAGGAAAATGCGCTAAAAATATGCAAATTAAATGGCTTTCGTAAGTTCGTAAGTAAATAATGCATTTACACTTCTCTTTAAAGTGTTACCAAACCTATACACTTATACAGCATACAGCATAAATTTCACCAAAATTTCACGTATTTTATCCAGATTTTATAACTATTTCAAAGATTTCAACAATATTTCACGGATTTTACATGTGTACCAGTGGTTCACTCCTTACGCAGTCGTGTGTGGGTGGCAGCTTGACCGGTCGGTACCGGAAAAACGCTTTTCCACTAGCCCATGAAAATTGTTTGCTAGTCGCACTAATAAATCTAGTTTTAATTTTTGGATTTTTGTTGTTGAGAAATGGCGCTGCTTTGACGTCAAACGAGCAATTTATAAACACAGCTTTCTGTTACTAACTAAAATTAGTGTCTTGACTCTTGATCACAACAAAATAAGGAAATCTTACGTAAGACCTGCAGTACGATTCATATACACGTTTTAACTTGCATGTATATAGATGAGTCCTGTAAACAAATCAGTGTGGAAATGTGTAAATCACAAGTGATTTTCAAGAAATGGAGGCAGTTAATATCATGTGATTTTAGAGTGGAAAAAAGGAAAAGAGGAAATGAAATCAAGGAAATCGTTTAAAAAGCACCTGGTATTTCGTGATTTCTCGATACGTGACTATCCCTTTCGAAAAATCACATCTTAATTTGGTACCTTTTTGTGGCATTAAATTTCTGTTTCAGTATACAGAAGAAAGTAAACGCGACTTCCCAATTCCACAATTATAGTAACTTGTAACGTTTGAAAAGCGCGTAATCCGTAACTACGTAAACGATTACAAAGCTTATTTAATTAATACTTACACCATATCGAGAATGTCGAGGCCAAGGACTCACAACAGACCCGCCAAAGTGGTTTTTGGTCCAAGTTACTGCACTATCAAATGGGTTTCCCCCGATGTGACCCTAAAAAAGGAAATGCGTGTTAATTACTGATCATAAGCCAAGTAAATAAGAATTGCAGTCTTAATAGTTATTGTTACGTATGCGCTTACCTAGCGAAAAATTTCCGAATAAGGAAGTCCGCCCTTACACAACATGAGTAAAAGTTGAAAATACAACATTTTAGTACTTACGCTTTCTTTTAAACACGACCAAACTAAAATACATATACCAAAAAAGGTGGAATAACAAGCTAGTCATTCATCAACAAAAGTTAGAATATTTAACATAGTCAAAACGAAGAAAATTTGCACAGCCGTGCAGTTTATTTGATGAAGAGTCGGGTTATGGCGCGAAAAGGAAGAGCAAAACAATCCAAACGCGAGAAAAATAAAGCGACCCGCAAACTTAAGGTTTATATTTTATAACGTTAAAGTCAGAGTCGAGGAAATTTATACGGGACATTGCGTTTAGTTGAAAAAGATATTATAATTTCATTTGCCGCCTGTTCGTACTATAAAACATCTCTCGGTTTCTTCCTGGAGATCTTTCCGGGTTGTCCGGCGAGGGTTTTAAGCTTTTAACTATGGGGTATTGTTCACATCAGCGGACGAAAGCAAAGGAGACCGAGTAAGACCGTCACCGTGTCACTTTCCCTACTTTTATGTATACAAACTTCACGGAGCGTCGTTTTTCTCTAAACTGAATCATCATTTCTTCAAATGCATTTACCTGTTTTTAACTCATCACAGTTGATTAAACTCCGAGAAAGACGCAACGCTAACGTTTCCACGGTACATCAGACTAGCCGATATACAATTGCGCTTTACATACACGATAAGAAGGATACAAAGTATATGAGGAACAATATAAACACACATACAGTATTGCAACACAAACTGAACTAAGAAATACAGATTTTCCATTAGCCACGTCACCAAATTACTGTTTTGTAGGTAATTAAGATATTTTGCAGAATACGTTGCTCATCTCAACTCAACCCTAATTCTTTTACTTTTATAATGGAAGTTTAATTTAAGCAACTCTGCCAATTTCATACAGTGGGTAACTTAACCCCCCTTTATTATCAAGGAAAGTGGAACACTAAATTATTTCCCCTAAATTTTTTTCAGGATTTCATCACATTTCATTTCATGTACGTATATTTTGACACTAAAGTATTGTCGTTATGGGTAAATTGTAGACTTTTAAACAGCACACATGCATTCCAACATTCTTGCTCGCACGAGCCCCTGGAAATACATAGATTGGTGTACAAAGGCATTCTCTCAAGCGCGATCGATTGGTTTCAATTATAGAAATCATGCGCTATCTGAAAAATGCGGTTCAATTTATGGTGGATTGTTACCTAAAAACGATTATATTTTTTCTTATATCCGTAAAAAAGACGTATGGGTAGGTATCGTGTAACGTATATGGTACCGTTGTGTACTGAAAACTATTTTAATTTCCTTTCAAAGAGTTTTAGTAAGTTTAAACCGCTCATTTCTACTATAGTCCGTCTCATCTTGACTATAGTACAGGGAACATAGGGTAATGCAATCTTATAGGGGTTTTTAGCGCCGCAATGTCGATTTATATCGTTGTGGACCATAAGAGCACTGCGAAGTGGACTATAGCAATTGTATAAAATTAAAAAGTTCGACAGAAAATCTCCACCTCGAGATCAAAGATTTCTTAAGTGTATCAAGGATTCTAGGATCATTGCAAAAAAGATTTAACAGTTATATTTCTAAAAATATCTGCAAGATTACTTACAGACTAGCACGTTTAAAGTGTCCACATTTTTTTGTAAGAAGTTTCTATAGAAGCCCCTAAGGAATTTGTAAGGTTTCTGAGACCAAAAGAATGTTTCACCAGGATCCTTAAACGGATTAATGTTTCGGGGATAACTAAGAAGATTTCTAATTCTAAAACTATATATAAGAAAAGCTCCGAAGAGGATCTCCAAGATTTACAAATAGGTTCTACTTATAAATTGAGAGTTTTAGGTACCTATGTAAAATTTTACTTAATTCATAATGAAGGTATGTAACTTTTTTATCTCAGCACATTTAAGGACACACAACCGTTCTCTCTTTCTAGATTTCTGGATCAGCATTGAATAGTCTTTCAAGCTGAACTTCGCCCATTTACTTGATGTAAATAAAGTCCCAATATTATTATTATAGTCAGTCTTTCTGGTTAACACTTAGGTCTAGCGTGGTTACCTAATCGCGCGGATTAAAATCAAATAACGATAATATCTGTCCGTATGTCGTCCGTTTTGTAAAGTGCGGTAATTTTCCTATTTTTTAAGATTTATATAAACATTACCTATAAGTTTTAATCCCTTTAACTTTTTTAGATTTCAAGCAAAATATTGTTAGAATGTTATCAAAATTTTAGAGATGGTGAAACTATCACGACTATCACTTCCAGGAAGATCTTTTACAAAATATTTCTACAAAGAATATTTCCAAAGAACGTTCACTAAAAGAAAATTTATAAGGACATTTCTAAGACTTTTCGAACGTTTCCAAGTACCATGTAGAACGTTATGATATTTGAAAGATCGGGATCGGCAGACATTACTATGTCATAATAAAATTCTTAATTACTGAGTAATGAAAAACTGGTGCAATGTCAATTATTCCCTCGATAACGGATAACGGATATAGACTTTCCAGTGTCAAAGTTGCTAGTTTCCCATGCGATGGGTATAATGACATATGGCGATACTATTATACAGGGATTAGGGAACCGATCAAGAGAGAACTGTTATAGATGGAAACTATAATTATTATCGGTTCCCCCATAAAATATTCAGAAATGAAACTGTTTTAATAAGTAACTATGACCTGTCTATACTAACAGATTGATTAAAACCTTCAAAAGGAACCCTACAGGTAAATAAGCAGGCAGGTATCCCATGATTTAGATATAAATTTAGAGCTAGGTATGTATAATGTCCTAAATTTACGTTATTTGTTTACTACACGCCTACAAACAATTTCAATTAACCACAATTTCAAGATATCGATTTTATTTAAACAAGGCACCATCAAATAATTAATCAACTCAAACTCCGAGAACTTGAGCGTTTAAGTCAGCCGATCCATTCATTCCGTACACCTACCACTCGAGCGAGTGCTCTCTAAAGGAAAAAGAGGAGATTCCCCGGAATTTGTAGGAGAAAAATCACATGGGAACTAATTTCACTAACGTAGGTTGAGATTAATCACGTATCGTAATTAAAAAACCAATTCAAATTCAATTATTTTCTTATAAACATATACATAATGCCTCCTATAGTTATTACGTAAATTCATTTCACTTTATTAGTGTTGTGGCTATAGTAGCTATGTAGTAAAAAAAGGTTTTTAGTACCAATTGTTTGGTATAATTGCACTCGTTTTAAATCGATCTTGTAATAAGTATAATATCTGGAATTTTAATCACCAATTACGTAAAAATTTTGTTAAGGATAATAAAATCGTAAGTAGAGAGATTAATTTATTTTAAATGTGCTCGTCACTAATAAAATCTACGGTGACTCTCGGTCAAGTATGTTAAAGAAACCAAACGGAACTAAAAAGGAAAACGAACTGCACAAATTACCATTAAGTAATTTTAGGAATACGCACAACAATTTAAATTTAAGTGCTGATTTAATGAAGTATCGTTTAGAGTGGCTGAATATGGGAATAGGCGAACGACATCAAAGCAAAATTGCGATTGTGTAACACAAACAAAAGGATACAGTCCCCTAACAGAAACTAACTATATAATTGGTTAAACTTAAAAAAAGTGAAAGTGAACGCTACCTACATTTCCAGATTTATAAAAATGACTGATCAAGAAAACTTACGCCTACTAGAATTGATTAGAAAATCTTTGTAGCTAATTGATTGGAGGCTGTTTGTATTGAATAGGTGGTCGTGTCCGTTAAGTGCAAATTGTTTACTTTTAGCATTAAGTATTGAGCAACGCGTTTCAAATTTTTATTAAACAATCGGCATACCGACATGTTACTGGTCGGTGTTAAGGTCAACTGTCGACATCAGAGAATTTGGCATCTTCAAAATCTGAAAACTTTGGTTTAGTAAAGATTAACCTAGATCAGCAACAACCATTTTTAGAGCCCAACGGTTTGTTAGGAAATTGAATTTTGCGGTGGTGATACTAGCTTGGCAACAACCCCAATAGATCCAACATTCAAAATGTTCGTTTCATAATTCTTGGCTAGAGGAAAGAGGAAATTTTGTGGTGGAGCTGCTATGAAAATTTAAACCTAACTTTAAAAATGTCATTTTTAATTTTGGGTTTTTGCAGTGGAGTTTTACACTAACTTGAAGACCACAATTTCTGAAATATTCGCGCATCCAGATTTAAATAAAAGGATTTCTATCGTTAAAAGTCGGCCAGGTCAGGTTTCATAAACTAGCCAATTAGCAACAAATTATGGCGTTAATGCGCTAGTATTCTAGTAAAAAGTTGTGGCAGTCATTTTTTGTCACTCCAATTTTACAATTCCAATGATTCAGGATGAATGAATGAAATTTAAATTGTCATATCTATTAAAGTCAATTTTACAAAAGCGCTCAGGTACTTATGTCAATTGTAAGTTCGTTGTTGGTAGCATCATTTGATGATTCCCTCTTCGTCGAGAGATTACATAATTTTCAATGAAGTCCACAAACGACAATCAAAATGCAAGCAAAGATTCAATCCCTTGCCAGTCTAAAATTACTACTGCTCTTACACTGATCAACTGCAAATTGCAAGGGTTGTAAATTCGGCAGTAACTATATCAAATATTTTTGCATCTTTGATTGATTATGTTTAGAGGTAGTCTGCTCGTATATAAGCATAACATGATTCAACCCCTTCTGGTTGAGAGATTACATCATTTTCAATGACGTTTTTCTGTTCACGGGGTAACTATAAAGTGCGAGGGTTTTTTCGTTAAGAGATTGCATAATTTTCAATGAATTTTTCTTTTCAAGGAGTAACAATAAACT